GTCCGTTTCGAAACAGCTGTTAATTCTACTGAGACTGATCCTCTTGGTGATTCTGGTGTTGTGCCGTTTCAAGGGTCGAACATGTTGTTGCGTGGAGGCAGAGGATCCGGACAGCCAGCGAATGAGATTCTTGTCAGGAGTATGTTTAGTGATGCAGAATCTGTTATGCAGTTTAACAGAGGGTTAGAAGAAGCTAGCAAGTTTCTTCCTAATACCAATCAATGGATCTTCAATCTCGGGGAAACCGAAAGTAAGAAAGGAGTGGTTTCGGTGAAAGAAGAGACAGGATTGTCCGGTAAATCGAGAGTTAGGAAGAATCATCACGAGAGGGAAGAAGAAGAAGATGATTTAGAGGACACTAGGAGCAGTAAGCAATATGCAGTGAATGTGGAAGATGGGAAGTTAACAGAAATGTTTGATAAGGTTTTGCTTCTTGATGGCGAATGCGATCCTCAGGTTATCGAAGAAGGCGAGAATGTTTCGAGTAAGGCTCAGACTAAAACAAAAGGAGGAGGAGGCCGTGCGAAAAAGAAGAGTCAAGCGGTTGATTTCCGCACGCTTCTCACGCTTTGCGCGCAGTCGATTTCCGCAGGCGATAAGATAACAGCTGATGATTTGTTGAGGCAGATAAAGAAGCAGTCTTCACCTCTTGGTGATCCATCACAGAGACTAGCTCATTTCTTTGCCAATGCGCTTGAGGTTCGTCTTCAAGGTAGTACAGGAACTATGATCCAGAGTTATTACGATTCGATTACCTCAAAGAAACGAACAGCTGCACAGATTCTTAAATCCTACAAAGTGTTCTTGTCTTCCTCTCCGTTTATGACTTTGATGTATTTCTTCTCAAACAAGATGATTTTTGATGCTGCCAAAGATGCTTCGGTTCTTCATATAATCGATTTCGGGATCCTTTACGGTTTCCAGTGGCCGATGTTTATACAGTACATATCAAAGAGCAAAAACGGGCCACGGAAGCTACGGATTACCGGCATCGAGCTTCCGCAACACGGGTTCCGTCCAACCGAAAGAATAGAGGATACGGGTCGAAGATTGACAGAGTATTGCAAACGGTTTGGAGTTCCATTTGAATACAATGCAGTTGCATCTAAGAACTGGGAAACAATCCGAATGGACGAGTTCAAGATCCGACCAAACGAAGTTCTTGCGGTTAATACCAGTCTCCGGTTGAAGAACCTTCGAGACGCGACTCCAGGCGAAGAGGATTGTCCGAGGGACGGGTTTCTAAAACTGATCAGAGACATGAACCCTGACGTTTTCCTCAGCTCTACGATTAACGGATCTTTCAACGCTCCGTTCTTCACCACACGGTTCAAAGAAGCTCTGTTTCATTACTCATCGCTCTTCGACATGTTTGGCGCGACGCTGTCCCGAGAAAACCCGGAGAGGATACACTTCGAAGGCGAGTTTTACGGGAGAGAAGTGATGAATGTGATAGCGTGTGAAGGAGTAGATAGAGTGGAGAGACCGGAGACTTACAAGCAGTGGCAAGTGAGGATGGTAAGGGCTGGTTTTAAGCAGAAGCCCGTGGAGGCAGAGCTCGTGGAGTCGTTTAGAGTAAAGATGAAGAAATGGGGTTATCATAAAGACTTTGTGCTTGATGAAGATAGTAATTGGTTCTTGCAAGGTTGGAAAGGTCGTATAC